CGACGAAGAATCTACATGGGAACCTCTCTCGAATCTCAAGAATGCCATGAAACTTGTCTGCGCCTATGATCGTGCTACTCCTATGTCCTAGACACCCACGTAACTACAACCCTAAACCCCTGTATAAACCTTGCCACAACCTCGCAACCCCGTTCTACACACACCCTTGAACCCAGTCCACCCTCCCCTCGACCCCGATTCCTGATGTCTGATCTGCCCTTGCCCTCGCCTAGCCTTGCCCCATCTGTCCTCTCCGCTACCTTGTCTCTCTCGTCCAATGCTTATGAACCTGCGTGACGCCGACGATAGAGGATCTAATGGCAAGCGCACGAGGACGATGGCCTGCTGCCTCACTGTTCATGGAGATTATGCAGCTGGTTTGGCCACCATGCTGTTTCATCAGCCGGCATCCCGACTCGCGACTTACTGGAGCAGCAACTTGTGACATGGATCTTTGCATCAGTCTGCGACTTCCTTGCTTCCAGATCAGACCTCATTGCAGTTCGTGTACCGGACGCACCCCAGCACTTGGACTTTGGACATTTGAACTACTGTTACGCTTCTTGGACTTCTACCTGTCGCAGCCGCTGCAGACCGCTTCTACCACCTACTCCAAGACCTGATCAAGACCGCTGCAGATCCCCTTTCAAGACACTTGGACACTTTGTTCCCACATGAGATTCTGCTTCCGACTCCTTCGGACACACCAGCCCTTGCCTCCTGAACAAACATTTTCATTTTTATTTATTTATTTTAAATTATTTATTTATTTATTTATTTATTTATTTATTCCTGACTTTGACAACCTTGTAGAACATCATTAGCAGATCCCTGTTCCCCTGACCATTGTTTCCCTTACCCACTAGAACATCAATAGAAATTCCCTGTTCCCCTGACCATTGTTTCCCTTACCCACTAGAACATCAATAGAAATTCCCTGTTTTCCTGAACATGGTTTCCCCTACCCAGTAGAATATCAATAGAAATCCCCTGTTTCCCGACTATTGCTTAGCTTCCCCTATAGACCCACCCAGTCACATCATACCTTCACCTGCGCAGAACACCAGACAGAATACCCCGTGACTTGCATCACTCCCTTTCTCCTTCTCCGACCAGTGATCGGCCCCGTCCCGTCCTTCACAGCTCTTTTTGTTTCCTTGGCTTTTTGGCAGCCGGGACGTTGCCTTTCAGAGGGAGGGGATAGTGTTATGGACTCCGCCAGGGCTCGATCCCTGCTCTATCTTTTTCCTGTTTCTGCTGCATCCCGTTTTCGGCCTGGCACCCTTTTTTCCAAACCCCTCCTTTGGTACCGTCGGATTTTGGACAACTGGCGACATGCTGCAATTCGGGCGCCACTTTCAAATACCGCATTTTTCAGTTCTGCCCTTGGGGCTTTTGCGGAAATGCCCCTGGTACCGTACGTGTCACCGGTACTTATACCGGCTCCCCGTACCGTACGGGGACCAGTCTCGTACCAGTTTTCTGCCGCTGTACTCGTACTCAGTGTGACTTGCTGTTTCTGCATTCGGGATCCAAGACTTCGACTTTGTGCCCTTGCCACTGTGTCTGCGTCCGACCCTCAATCGTGTCGAGTGAGTGAGTGTGTATGTGTGCTCTCACTCTCTCCCTCTCTCTCTCCTCTCCCTCAGCTCTCCCTCAGCCCCGCGCTCGTCACAAAGCAACTCCTGGTCATTTTGGTTACATTCTATTTGCTAAGAGCTTGGCTAAAATTTTGTACGCTACTGTGAGTAGTGTTACGGGTCTATAGTTTTTTTTTTTTTTTTTTTTTTTTTAATGTCTGTTGTAGTAGTGAAATTATTCCTGTGCTGAGGTCAGTGCCTAGCCCTTCATCCGCCCAAGCTTTCCTTATGTAGTTGCAATACTCTCCTCCTCGGACTTCCCAATATTTCCCCCGAAATTCTTTGGACGACCCGTCTTGTCCCGGGGGTTTTCCTGGTGTATCTTTTATCTCTCGGTGTTGGTGAAGTGGTATAGATTTTTAAAGAAGCCTTCTGCTATAGTGAGCATTTGTGTCGGGTCTGGCGTGGTTCCCATTTCACCTTTCAGTTGGAGTATTGCCGAGTTCCTTCCCTGGGATCTTATTTTTGAAAGAAGAACTTGGCCATTCTTTCGCCTTCTTCCCATTCTTTGACCCTGGCTCTTAGTCTGAGACCTTTTGCTTTCCAAATTTGCCAACTGCGTAGTTCTTCTCAAGCTCTGAAAAGGAGCTCCTCGTATGTCGTTTCCCCTGGGTGTCTGATGAGATTTCTTTGTGCAACTTTGACTGATGTTTCTAGTTCTTCTATTCTCTGCTTTCTATTTGCTGCAATTTTCCTTGAAGCCCTAGAGGTGGCTTGTGACAGTTAAAAGAGTGGGGAAATCTGTTCCTTCTTCTTTGCTGCTTAAGCAGGCTTGGAGTCTTGGAATATGGCTTCCTTTATTAATTAATGGCTAAGTAAAGAGTTATTGATTTTAAAGAAACTGGGTCCCTTTTGACTTCCCTGGGTCAAAGACTAGTTCTAAGGAGATGGGATAGTGATCTAATCCGCTGTGATAGGGTGGGTATATTCCCGATTCCTACGTCTACTTTTTTGAGGGGTTCTGAAATAACGAAGTAGTCTAGTCTTGAGAATGTGATGTGCTGAATTATATTTCTCTTCATGTATGTATATTTTCTAGCATCAGGGTGTCGTAGTCCAAGGGGTTCAATTAGGTTTTCTTCTAGTGTGAGACCTTGGATGAGTAGTGCTTCTGTTGCTAGAGTGTTGTTTCTGTCTGATCTGGCACCAGAACCCCTTGGCCAATCCTGTTCGTGGTCCACTTTTGATAAGTAACCGGGCAGGCGCCCCCGAATACAAAGGGGCTGTGCTTGTGTTAAAAAAGAAAAAGAAAAAGAAGAAACTTCAAAAAAGACACTCAATGCACCCATTGACCAAGCCTGTTCATTGGCAACTGCTGAAACTCAATGCCACCATTGGCCAACTGTGACATACTGCACAGCCACACGGGCCTGCAGGGCCCGACCAGCGTTTTCAGCCTAAAAGCCTGAAAACAAGAGCCTACAGGCCCTGTGTCGTTTTCAGCCTAAAAGCCTGAAAACAAGGGCCTACAGGCCCTGTGTCGTTTT